CATGAGACGGTGTTCGGTAAATTACATACTGAAGAAAACTAAGCACCAATAGCCAGTCAATCAGGAAAAACGAAAAATAAAAAGTTCAACGTGCTTTATTCCTCAACACTATGACTCAGATGGATATTGTGGCGGGATGCTTTCAGAGCTTCCTGGCCTCTTACAGGAGTTTACAATTATAAAACAAACATGCCATGGTTTTGATACATAACTTAATATAGTTACAGGGTGCAGTCAACGAGTAACTTAAATGTTCTGAGATAAGATTTTTTCGATAGATTGCTTTGGATTACATATGGATGAATTTCTCCATATCTACAGCCTTCAGGGGTAAATTACGACTTATTAGAACAATCTTTTAGTACTCCCAGAAGAGTTGGAGATGCAGTGCACTTCTGTTCCTGAGCCTTTTCAACGTGCGAAAATATTTATTTCTGCACAAAAAATAAAGTAGTGCAGTTCCTCCTCAATTTCTACCCTACAAGGTAAGTCATTTTGTATTTGTCTCCTACTGAATGCCTCCAAATTCGCTCAATTGAGGATGGGTAGTAGAGGCAAAGTAGGCTGGGGCAAACTGGACCAAAGAGGCTTTAAGTCAAAAAAATGTAGCTGTAAGTGAAACTTTTACCACACACAGAAAAACCAAGAGTTGGCAACTCTGTTGGTTTAAAAAAGCATGGTGCTTCTGCGTATACATGCCTTAATCGTTCGAGAAAATCCCATTTCGGACGGAAAAATTTTGTCCGATAGGTTGTATTTATGCAGCGAATTAAGACGTGTGCGCGGGTGCACCATCATGTGAATCAAAACCACAGCGTGCTGTATATATCATTGAAATCGTTTAATAAAAATGCTTGATGGAATACAGTGTGTAACTTTCTTACGGCCGTATAAAAAATTAAGTGATCATGATTTGCTCTGAATAACGAAAACGTGTACTGAAAATCTCTCAACGGTGTCTTGCACAGTTGCAAAAAGTGGCAATGAGAAAGTTGATTTTATTATTTTGTATCATGTTTCAAATAACATCATAAAAAATTAAAAACCAATAATGGCCAAATTTCGGTTTTTTCTAGTATATCAGTGGTATATTGCACCCCTAATCACGTACACGACCTGGAAGGATTTTCATTCCAAGTTGATAAAACTAGAAGAACCTCTGAGTTGCATTTTTCTTGGGCAAATTTTCAAATTGTCATTTTTCGCCAAATGTTATATATGTATATTAAATAACGGTGTTCCGCAATAAATTGCACTTTTCCATACTTTTCTTTTTATAATACGCAATGCTCGAGCTATACTCATTGCAGGGGACTATCGAAGCCTTCGATGTCAACGAAACGAGAAAATTTCCTTTTTTCACAAGAAGAACGGTGGAATATACAGTCACCTCCAACCAGCGACGGCCTTAAAGCAGCACGTTCCTTCTAGCTGTTACTTCGGATGGTTTTCATCCAGGTACTCCTTTTCGGCGTTTAGTTACCTATTAGGATGCAATCCCGCAGGCAAAAACCTTCAATCCCCGGTATTTGCGGGATCGTTAGATGTTAATCCCGCGGATTCCCGGTATTTTCGGGAATCCCGCATAAGCAATTTTTGCGGTTATAAACTTTTCTGTATTAAAAATAAATTCGCTAATATATCCCATATTCAACAAAAAAGTTAACCTTTCAGGTCTAACTAAAAAAAATCACCTGTTTAGTGTTAAAGCATAAAAAGTGGGACAAATTCCTTCAGTTCCCGCAAATTCCGGCGCCATCCGCTCCATTATGTGCGGAATTGTTAATCCCGCAAAAATGCTGCGGATCCGGTTATTTTTGGGATCCCGCGATCCCTGTATTGCATCCCTACCTATAACTTTTTTGATTTGAGAAGTCTGATTCGAAAAAGTTTACGCATTGATTTGGATTCTAGCACCCAAATTAATAAAGAAAAGTGTTTTCCCAAGAAATTTTGGTGTTAGTCGATTTTTGGGTTAAAAAAAGGAAGGTATACACTGCCTTTTTTGAGCCCCTGAAAAAAAAATTTGTCTCAGATCGACCCGGAAAAAAAATTTTCTAATAGAATTGTAGGCCTGTAGAATCCATAATTTCCAACAGTTTCAAGATTGGGCTACTAGTTTCAAGAGTTTACACCCTTTGAATTTTTTTTTCGAAATTTGGTTTCTAGTCCATAACTTTTGCTATAAGAAGCTTGATCGAAAAAAGTACGAATTTGATTATGGATTCTACGACCCAAATTAATAAGGAAAAGTGTTTTCCCCAAGAAATTTTGGTGTTAGTCGATTTTTTTGGTAAAAAAAGGAAGGTTATACACTTTGCCTTTTTTGAGTCCCCGAAAAAAAAAATTGTCTCAGATCGACCCAGGAAAAAAATTTTCTTATAGAATTGTTGGCCGTTAGAATCCATAATTTTCCAACGTCAAGATTGGGCTGCTAGTTCAAAAGTTACAGCCCTTTGAATTTTTTCGAAAATTGGTTTCTAGTCTATACTTTTGATTAAGGAAGGTCTGATCGAAAAAGTACAACTTGATTTTGCGATTCTACGCACCCAAAATATGAAAAGTTATCCGAGAAGAATGTTTATTGATTGGTAAAAAGTGTATAACTCCTTTGTTCTAGAGCCGAAAAAATTCTTACGGAAACTTTTTTGTATTGGCTTAGAATTTATTAAGTGTTAATTGGCTATAGTTTAAGTTAAATTTGGGGAAAAGGTTAAATAGCCTTTTTTTGGAGGCCCGAAAAAAAAATTAGGTATCAGATCGATACCCGGAAAAACATATTTATATTAGCAATGTGGCATGTAGAATCCATAATTTCAAACAGTTCAAGATTGGGCTAACTATTTCAAGAAGTTACAGCCTTTGGAATTTTTTTTCGAAATTGGTTTCTTAGTCTAATAACTTTTTGATTAAGAAGTTTTGATCGAAAAATACGAGAATTGATTTGGAATTCTACCAGCCCATAATTAATAAGAAAAGATGTTATATATCCCGAAGAATACTTTGGTGTAGTCGATTTTTTGTAAAAAAGATAGGTTATACACTGCTTTTTTTTGAGCCCAAAAAAAATTTGTTTAGATCTGCACCGCGAAAAGAAATTTCTCTATAGAATGTGGCCTGTAGAATTCCATAATTTCAAACAGTTTTCCAAGATTGGGGCTCACTTAGTTCAAGAGTTACAAGCCCTTTGAATTTTTTCGAAAAATTGGGTTTCATAGTCTATAACTTTGATTAAGAAGTCTGATTCGAAAAATACGAATTTCGATTTGGATTCTTTACGCACCCAAATTAATAAGAAAAAGTGTTTTCCGAGAAATTTTGGTGAGTTCGATATTTCTGGTTAAAAAAGGAAGGTTATACACTGCCTTTTTTTGGCCCCGAAAAAAAAATTGTCTCAGAATCGACCCGGAAAAAACATTCTTATAGATTGTTTTTTTTTTTTTTTTTTTTTTTTTTTTTTTTTTTTTTTTTTTTTTTTTCTGGCCTGTAGAATCCATAATTTTTCAAACAGTTCCAAGATTTACTACTAGTTCAGAGTTACAGCCCTTTTTTGAATTTTTCGAAATTGGTTTCTAGTCTATAAACCTTTTGATTAAGAAGTCTGATCGAAAAAGTACGAAATTGATTTGGATTCTACGTCACCCAAATTAATAGAAAAAAGTGTTTTCCACGAGAAATTTTGGTGTGTCGATTTTTGGTAAAAAGGAAAGGTTACACACTGCCTTCTTTTGAGGCCTCAAAAAAATTATCTCAGACCCGACCTGGAAAAAACATTTCTTATGAATTGTGGCCCTGTCAAATCCTTAATTTTCAAACAAGTTCCAAGATTGGGCTTACTAGTCAAGAGTTACTGCCCTGTGAATTTTTTTTCGAAATTGGTTTCTAGGTCTATAACTTTGATTAAAAAGTCTGTTCGAAAAAGTACGAATGATTTGATTCTACGCACCCAATTAATAAGAAAAAAGTGTTTTTCCCGAGAATTTTTTGGTATGTAGTCGATTTTTGGTAAAAGGGGAAGGGTTATACACTGCCTTTTTTTGAGGCCCCAAAAAAAAATGATATTCAGATCGACCCGCAAAAAACATTTTCTATAGAAATGTGGCTTGTAGAATTCCATTAATTTCAAACAGTTCAAAGATTGGGCTACTAGTTCAAGAGTATAACAGCCTTTGAATTTTTTTTTCTGAAATTTGGTTTCTAGTCTTATAAACTTTGATTAAAAAGTCTGTTCGAAAAAGTACGAATTGATTTTGATTTCTACGCACCCAAAATTAATAAGAAAAAGTGTTTCCGAGAAATTTTGGTTTTTATTGTAAAAAAGGAAGGTTATACACTGCCTTTTTTTGAGCCCCAAAAAAAAAAATTGTCTCACATCGACCCGGAAAAAAAATGTTCTTATAGAATGTGGCCTGTAGAATCCATAATTTCAAACAGTCCCAAGATTGGGCTACTAGTTCAAAAGTTACAGCCCTTTGAATTTTCTTTCGAAATTGGTTTCCAGTCTATAACTAGGGAATGCAATCCCGCAGCAAAATCTCAATCCCGGTATTTGCGGGATCGTTAGATGTTAATCCCGCGGGATCCCGGTATTTGCGGGATCCCGCAAAATTTTAAATAAATTGGCAAATAAGCAATTTTGTGCGGTTAACTTCTGTATTAAAATAAATCGCTAATTATCACAATATTCAACAAAAAAGTACCTTCAATCTAACTAAAAAAAATCACCTGTAAAGTTTAGTGTAAAGCATAAAAAGGTAAACTTCTAAAGTACCTCAAAAATCATAGTACATTTTTAACGAAAAAAGTTTAACAATTATTTTAAAAATAATTTCTCCGTTATGCGTTTCATTAACAAAGCAAACAGGGTCGTCCCCTTGGTCGACAAATTCCTCAGTCCCGCAAATCCCGCGGGATCCCGCTCCATTTATGTGCGGAATTAATCCCGCAAAAATGGTGCGGGATCCCGGTATTTTGGGATCCCGCGATCCCGGTATTGCATTCCCTAGTTATTACCTATTATCTGTTCAAAATCCAAGATCTGTGTGTAACAAATACCTTAAACCCTTTCTTCCACGACAAAGGGATGTTCTTACTGAATTTAGGTGCAAAGACTTTATCTGATTTGTACTACTTACCCACTTTGGAGCTAAAACATTAAAAAAAATCAAACCAATATAGTTAGCGCATGAGTGGGTAGGCAACCGCTACTCATATGGACTTACCTGTGCCACAATAGTCGACTCCACCCTAGAAAAAAACCTACCAACATTTTCCACGATTCAATAATCTGTCCGTAATTCATTCCCCTACACCTGCTTCCAAACGATTCTATGCAACCTCGCAGCTAGCGGCAACATTCCGCCTTTTTCTAAATCCGCTTGTTCTATCGCTTACTGATCATTATTCCTAAATTCGCGTTCATCTTTCGTATGAAGCGGTACATATGTAAGTTTTCCTATACTTCACATATGTACATGGCATACGAATTCGAAAAATTTTAAACCGCTAAGCGCTACCGTTACATCTGTCATACGTATTGACCCCCATTGACAAGGGTGTACCCCTCGTAGTAAGTAAAATATCTTTGCTTCTCAATACGCATACAGATCTCACCCAGTGCTGTTTTGGCTTAACAAAATGATTAAGGAAACTCTGCCCGACTTATTACACCTACGCCAATTGGGAGGGTTGTAACTCTTGTAGTACATGGAATATCTTTGCTTACTTGATTGATTATGTTTACAGGATCTACATGTAATCCCCTCACTCCACCCTGGTGTCTTTGCGAAACTGTTACGGAAACTCTGACTTACTTCCAAAGCTTAAACGCATTGGGAGAGTTGCAACTCTTGTATTTCATGGAATATCTTTGCCTCCTTAATTGATTATGTTTACATCAGGATCTACAAGCAACCCTCTTACTGAGCATACAGATCTCAGTCTTTGCTGTTGTGACTTTACGGAATTATTAAGGGAACTCTGCCCTTTTCTCCCCTACACCAATTGGAAGAGTTGTAGCCACTGTCATGCATGGAATATCTTTGCTTCCTTGATTGATTAAGTTTACAGTATCTATAAGCAACCCCCTAACTCCGCATATCCACCCTCGCGTCTTGCGACATTATCATGGAAACCCAGTCTTACTTATTTATCCTACACCCATTGTAACTCTTGTAGAACACGCAATATCTTTGCTTTTATGATTTGTTATGTTTACGGATCTATAAGCTACTCCCTCACTCTTCATATAGATCTTCACAGTCTACCCTCGGGTCTTTGCGAAATTATAATGCAAACTCTTATTACCTCTACAGCAATCGAGAGGGTTGTAACTCTCGTATCTTTGCTTTCTTGATTAATTATATTTACAGGATCTACAAGCAACCCCTTCACTCAGCATACAAATCACCACCTTCGCGTCTTTGCGATATAACCTACACCTTTTGCGAAGGTTGTAACTCTTGTAGTACATGGAATATCATATTCAAATGTCGTTTTTCAAGGCTCCGAACGTTTGGACTCCCACCCACAGGCTTTTTTAAAGCCAGCTCTCAAACTTTAATAAGCATATGCATAACACGTTTGACAAATGTAACACAATACACGAAAATATGCTTTCGAAGATCTTTATACTTTGCTGTTCTAGGGTTTGGTCTATGCTCTATGCATAAATCCATCCCTGCAAGCAAACTGTAGAAGACAGTCAACTCAAGTCGATTGCAGTGCAGTTGGTTTTGGAGTCCGCAACGTGGCTCATTACGGAGTACCCCTGATGGTTCTTTCTTTAAAAACCTTCAAAGTTTAAGGGGCTGCAGCTGGATATAATGTTGGACCGATGTTACTCGCTCAACAGATGGCGCTGTACAATCTTCAAGCCGACTTCCACTAATTCTCATACGATAATCTCGCCGATCTTTTCTCAATTATCACTTGAGCGACGACCTCGTGACGCACATTCCCTCGAAACGAAACCCCGTTCGAGTCTGGGAAATTTTTGCACGTTTTTAATCAATATGACGCAACGCAATTGAAAGTAATTGCTAAACGCACTTGATTACACAGCAAACTAATCTTGGACAATCGACTGTCGCCAAGTTGTGTGGGGCAAAATCCAGTTCTCGACATAACTTCCTACGGCGAGGTACTTAAAAGAGGAAGAGGCGCTCGTTGTTCGCCCAACACCGACTCTGCAAACAAACTTTTATCTAATTAATTAATTATTAAGTCACTTAATTACTCTGCGGCGTTTATCAGTACGGTTCTATAAATAAAAGTGAAGTAGTGGGTTTTCCGTCAGTTTGGAGTTCACTTTTCTACTTTCATGATGTATGAAAATAGTGTTTTATTTATACTTTTTAGTGTTTTACTTTCGTGCATTTTAAACGGTAAGAAAGAAGTTATTTACCTACGCTTCTTTAAGTTTTGTTTGTGAATTTTGCTTACAAATACTTCACAAACCCCCTGTCGGGTAGGGGTTAGAGTAACGGTTACATTTCCTGAATGGTTAGATACGATGTAATGCCGCCATTGTATGACAATGTTACCATTTTTGCAATCAGAAATAGACGAAGGTTATCTTTTGGATGAGATTAGATTCGGTAAACAGTAATATTGAAATCGGCAACTGGTAGCAGACAGTGGCGGCGCCATGAGCACGTCGGGTAGGGGAAGGCGGCACGTGCAACTGTATACTATTAAAATTTCGGGTAACTAAGAATCGATTCGCACAGTCTAATATCTAGGGAACCAAGTAATAGGTGTATTAATCACAAAAATCCGCAAGAGAAGGTTCTTTGATTTGAATTGAAATCAATAGTTTTTTTTAGCAAATTAAGGTCAAATATAAGGGCGAGGCGCAAACAGGGTGCGTCTCTATTACGGGCGTTGCATAATATTTCAATGTCGACAGTTCTGTAATCCCCACGTTTCTATTTTTTTACCGAAAGTAACGTATGAAATGCATTGTAATCTTTACATTATCTAGGTACCTCATAATAGAGTTAACTACGGAAAGACAAGTGAGAAAGTACCTATTACTGAAGGTTTGATTGCATAGATAGTGTAACCAAGTATTTTTTATTGCCATAATTGATGGAAATTTGAAACCTATTCAAAAATAATTTGGAACGAGAGCTATTTTGGAAAACGCGACGGTAGACGCCTCCGTCGTTATCAAAATGTGAGTGAAAATCAATTCATTCAGATAAAAGTAATGGGTTGCAGTCAGTAACAGCCAAATGATTGTTTCTAATCGCCGTGTTTTAGACAGAAAAGGGCGAGGAAAAATGTTAAGTAATAAATAATTTTAACTTTTTAATTTTTTTAGTACTTATTAAGGCCGATTCTCACTTGGCGACGCTTCGCGACGCGACGCGCAGCGACAAAGTGTTGCTTCCAACATTTGACTGTAATTACTATCATGTAGGTATCTATGTAATTTTACTTCATCTTCTACAAGTCTTCCCTATACTAAATGGTACAAGCCTTCTTCTAGTTTGTTTCCATATTTCATGAATCCAAAATTTACGTTTCAGTCTCATTTCTTCTCTTCTTCGTCCTCTCTTCATTATGTAAGGCGAGATGTAAGGCAAGTGCCAGGGCAAACACATCATCATCGTAACTTGAAGAACATATCGAAATACCTTCTACGGAATGGCGCGGCTTGGAGTAGGTAAAGTAGTGACAGGTGCCGTCGTCAGCAACGTTTTGTTGCCGCGTCGCGTCGCTACGCTAAATGGGAATCAACACGGCGTCGCGTCGCCAAGTGAGAATCAGCCTTTAAACACAAAAGACATCCTATCAATTGTTTCCGTGGTCTACTAGTTAAATTTTTCAATATAATTGACACCAACGGTAGTATTTAAGTGGTATATGCAAGGGTAACTTTTTGGGGTCGTCTAAAGAAGTGGCAGATTATGATTTCCATAAAAAACAAAATGTGTGGCGTCAACCAAAAACTATCCCTACACGGTCCTAGACGGTTTTACAACGAAAATTTGTAGGCCCCCCTCCCCACGCTCGGCAAAATAACTTTTTGATAAAATCTGAAACCGGTCGATTTTCTAATCGAGGACGGGGGCATTTTTCATGCTATAATAATTCTTACTGACACCCTGTGCTAGTGGTTACAGCCTCGCCACAAATTCTTGGATGGGACGAGGAGATTTCAATACTTCTACAATAATTTTTTTAAATCGATCGATTAGTTACCAAGAAATCGCGCTTTAAAGTTTCAAATTCTAAAAATGAATAAAAGCTCGAGTGATCTACATACAGATCTTACATTGAGTTATTCTCCTCTGGTTATTCGACGATCATTCATAATGAAAATGAAAAATACAATACGTATAGCGAAATTCCGATTGGTAATCTAGGGACAAAGTGCACAGATCCGGCACAGATATACAGGTAGATTGTAGATACTTACACCCAGGAAAATCGAGCATTTAAGTGCGTTGCACTAAATACGCATTAATTTGAGTTGAATAATATGTACCTATTGCAATACTTTCCACCTCGCTTTCCACATTCTTTTTATTCTTCGCGACCAAGAGTCCTATGCTAAGAACAATTTGAAAATGCACCCTATATAATAAGGATAAAATAAAGAAAATAGTCCGATTACCTTCACAAAAGCAGAAGAACGAAAACGCGATTAACACTAAACTTTCCAGACTTGTAAGCTCGCATCGCACAACGAAGTCGTCTTGTTTCTATTGCGAGTTCAATATTGTAAGCACATCTTCGCACTTCCCCACTCGCCAAATGTCGAAGCAATCGCCGGCCGGATTTTAGTTTTTATCTCACTGGATAAGAGGAGGATTGAAGAGGATAGGATAAGACTAAAGAGAAATTAGGTAAAGTCGAGGGTAAACTATTACAGGGTGTCCCACGACGAATGCCGATCTCGAAAGGAAGACATTTTAAAAGTGTGCTATATAATGATGATAAGAGGGATTGATCTAAAATATTTTCAAGTTGGTGGCATTTTTGATTATACGGCTTATACCTAAAGTTTGATGCCGACTTGTTTATTTGGATACGTGGAATATGAGGACGGGTATCCGCGAATTGTTTGCGCAATTTTGTGTAAAAGTGTATTTGTTTAGTTTATAGACTAGCTGGATAGTATGTAAACTATATCCAAACGTAGGTATGGTTATTTTGATGGGAAACCATTGATTCACCAACTCACCAACTACCTATGAATATTTTATATTGGTTGGTTTGTATACTATCTAGTTAGTCTATAAAGTATACAAGATTTATCGCCAAAGTACTTACAAACCACAAGGAAATTATACGAGTAGGTATAAAGTAACCAGATTACCAGAATTTTTGGCTAATTCACAAACAATATTCGTAGTAATAAGTACTTAATAAAGAAAATAAATTAACCAATGCATTAGTTATTAGCGTATGTATTACTAGAAATATTTAGTTCACACTTCAGCCAACTACTGTAGATAGTTTGTGAACTAGCCAACAATTCTGGTTAATTTATATAATTATACTAGCTGACCCGACGGACATTGTCATCTTTCTTAGCTATTCAATTCGGACTGAAATAAATAATAACAAAAAATTTGCTGTGGCTAGCACAGGTACATACTACCCTGTAGAGTTTAAAATTGTCCAAAATTAAAAGGTGCATACAAAACTGTTTTTACATGTTTTATTAAGCTTTTGGTATACCCGCAAATTTAAAAATAAATTTCAACATTTCTGTTATTAGTAGCAATTCATAAAACAACAAAAGTCATGGTTATTTTAAAATTTGCGGGTATAGGTACCAAAAGCTTAATAAAACATGTAAAAACAGTTTGTATGCACCTTTCAATTCTGAACAACTTTAAACCAGTTTTTTCTGTAAAATGTGCTGGAGAGTAGGATAGTGCGTAAAACTAATTTCCCATGTTAAATTCCTATGTTCCTACTTACCGAGCACCACCCGGTATATGTTTGACTTGTAGGATTACGAAATCTGCGACCTAAGTTGGTACTATTAGATTTAGGCGAGGATTTAGGAAATTTTTTTTAAATTTTATATGTTGGTACATCTAATAAGTAGCATCTTAAAAAAACTAAAATTCAAGTGAAAATAGAAATTGACTCCCTTATTGTTTCTGTATAACTATGTGTATACCACATGTTTAGTCTGTCAACACTTACCAAAAATGGATATTAGGTATATCAAACTTTTAATATAAAAGGCGTGATTGCGGTGAAATAACTTCGAAACTTCTCAAAAAATTCACTGAAATCTGGATAAACTATCCGATCGAATTGACAGCACACTATGATATGAATAAATTAATTTTTTGACGGATATATTATGCCGATCCATTGCCGATCGATGTAGGTGTTAAAACAATTGCCGTCGCACCGTCAAACGCGTGATGTTTAAATAGTCTTTAAGTTTTCTTCAATTTTCCAATTTTCTGAGCGATTTTCTTAGTTTTTCTTGCCGTAATGACCTTCTACACAGTATTAGAAAACTTAAAAAAAAAGATGAATGGAATCGGTCAAGTCGTTCTAAAGTTATTGCGTGACCAGAAAAAACGGGTTCATTTTTATAACGGGTGTCCCAAAATTAACGCAAGATTTGAATTTGCCGCCATTTGTGCGGTGAAGTGTTGGCAACCCTGAAAAAAAAGCAATTTGACAGCTAACAGTATAGGGTTATTAAAAATGGAGCGTTACACGATAGAACAACGTGTCTTCATTATTAAAGAATATTTCAAAAATAGTGAAAGCTTGGCGGCTGCAGTTCGAAAATTTCATACAAAATATGGTCGGTGTTTTAACTTCGTCAACTGTGAAGAGATTAATTGAAAAATTCATGGAGACTGGATCCGTTGGAGACGCCCTCGGAGACGCCAAACACACTGGTCGTCCAAAAACAAGCCGTTCGAATGTGAACACTATTCCGACCATATTTTGTATGAAATTTTCGAACTGCAGCCGCCAAGCTTTCACTATTTTTGAAATATTCTTTAATAATGAAGACACGTTGTTCTATCGTGTAACGCTCCATTTTTAATAACCCTATACTGTTAGCTGTCAAATTGCTTTTTTTTCAGGGTTGCCAACACTTCACCGCACAAATGACGGCAAATTCAAATCTTGCGTTAATTTTGGGACACCCGTTATATAGAGATAATTTTGAGGATTATTTTCTTGTGGTTTGTACTTTGACGATAAATCTTGTACCTACTTATATTTTATAGATTAACTGGATCGTATACAAACGAGTATACAAACCAACCAATATTCGTAGTTATTTTAGCGAAACGATAATTTCCCACCAAAATAACCATACGTTTGGATAGTTTACATCTCGGTTTACATACTATCCAGGTAATCTATAAACTCGCCTATAAACTAGCCAAGTAGACACTTTATCCGCAACATATATAAAAAAATACGAGATAAAATAGGAGCTTGAGTCTTCAGTTTAATGCGATATGTGTCCACACGTGCGGAAATTCAGCAAGAAAAAAATGGCGATTGTTCGCATATTTCGAAATCTCAGAAATATGATTGACAACAAAAAAACGATAAAATTTTAGATGTCATTATTAAGATTAACGCAGCAATTGTTTTTTACTTTCCTCACTAGAGAAGAAAATCACATTTTCTTCATCCTTTTTAGAGGCGAAAGTAGTCGAGAAAGTAGTTGTTTCTAAAGTAGTTTCACAAAATAGTTATTTGTACAACTAGAGAGGAAAGTGGAGTTTTTCAACTCGAGTTCAAAGTTTGGAGTATGTCAATCGAAGGCGAGATCGAAGGAGTTGAAAAATACTTTCTTCTGATGGAATTCTTTTACACTTTTTATACTTTTTTGCGTAGCACTTTACTCTTCGAAAATATCCCACCAATTGTAATAGGTAATAGTATGTAATTTTGATAAAAGAACAAAAATTGCACAAATACATCCACTCGTACATCCATTTAGGAAACTAAGACGAAATTTAATGGAAAGTTTATATTTGTTTTACCCTTCACACCCGCTCCCCCACAAATCATAATCTGCACACAGCACCCGTCGATTGCAATCACTATTTCAAAGGTCTTAAAATACTTACAAATTCGAATTTGGATAGTCTGCTTATGAATTAATTAAAAAAACCAAGACGAATACAGAATAGATGAATTTGACACGTTTTGATGGTTTGTTATCTTTTAAAAGCACTAATCATGTCAAGTATTCTAAAAAAATAACGACAGAACAATAGACGTTCATATCAACGGAGATATCAACGTAGAGGTCAATTTAAATATGTGGAAAATTCATCCAACCGTTATCTAGTTATATCCGTAGAAAGTTCGTGAAAAACCGACTAAGAATTGTTTTTTAAGGAGTTATCAAATGTTCGCGATTTTTAAAAATATTTTTTAAGAGCTAGTATCAACGTTTTCATTTAGTGTATAACTTATTTTCTCAAAAAAACAACCATTTAAAATTGGTACCGCAAGAGGGACCACGGTCCCTTAAGTCATATGACCTCGCCAGTCAATCGATTTTAGCATACTCGGATAGTAGAATAGTAGAACTCCATCGGTTAAAATTTTGATCACTCTCGTTCAGTGGATTTCGAGCTAGCTCCAACAAATGGACCCGGCTCCGCCTAACGGTCAAAACACATTCCCCTTCTCTCTTGTCTCAACTTCGATTCCACCTCCTAATTCTCTAGTTAAAATAAACAAAAATTCTCTTATCTAAACGCGCATCTGCGACAAACATCTATTTCCAAAATTAATTATTTTTTTAGCAATAAGCGCATCTCTTATCTACGACCGGAGAAAAACATGAAATAAACATTTACAAAAACGACATAAATAATTCCCTTATCCTACAACACATAAATTCTTAAAAATTAAATAAACAAAATACGAATAAGAATTCGAACATGTAATGCAAGTGGATAATTATTTGCAATGTCCGTGGATTAGTTGTGAAAGGTTTGTACAATGTGTGAAATATGTGTGTAATCAGTGCGACATTTATATGTGCAATATTGCACAGGTGGTCTTTTGTTTTTGGACTGACTAACCCCTCGACTTATTCGCAATGGAACACATTTTTAGATTCTTTAAATTTTATACGGGGTGGAAATCTTCAAAACAACATTCTCTAATGGTATCAAAAATTATTAAAAGTTTGTTATCAATCTACGTACCTTAACTTTGTGGTCAGTGGCGTATTTCTCCATAATTCAAAGGGGGCATATTTTTTTAATAGTGTAACGTAAATTTAATTGTTTATTTACGGTTGAAAGTGCTAGAAATTTACAAGAGTAAAGTGCTACAAATAAATTAATTGCTCGTATGGCTTTAAAACTAGACCACAGAGTAGACCACTTTGTATATTAATTGCTTACTAAATTGCAAGTGTAGGATTAATTACTATAAATGGAAACTGTTTGGGGGTGCCAACTATTTGCTTGAGTATTGTGCCTTAAACTCGCTTACTAAATTGCAAATGTTAATCTAGCTTGCGAGTAACTGACACCGCTAAATAATTTCCAGTTAGTTAATACGTTATATTGAAAGTGGTTTACTAATAAAATCATAGAACCATAGCGATACTCTCGGGGATACTTTAATTTTACGAGTAGTTGGCACCCCCCAACGGTTAGTTAAAGCAATTAGTTTAAAACCGGCAATTTGGTAAGCAATTAATATCTGGAGTCGTTTAGTATTAAAACCATAGCGGCAATTAATTTATTTATGACTCTGTACTCTCGTAAATAGGTGGCTTTGTAAATTGTTATTACACAATTTATCAGTAAAGCTAATTAATTAGAAACTTGTATCTTATTAAGCAAATAATGTAGAAGTTGTTATCACATGGTTAACAAAAAGTTGTATAAAGCTCTGTAAGTTTTACCCATTCTGGGGGGTTCTAGCTTAATATTAAGTTAACACCCCCAAGGGCCAAATGGGCGAATAATACGTCACAATTTGTCCGCTATCTCATTAACAAAATGTATTAAAATTACGAAGGCGGAGATTAAATTTCTATATCTAAACATCCATTAGAATTTTTTTACGGTTTCTTTCCATGGGACTTGGCCCACTTGACGTTCAGTTTGGAGAAGCTGAATAATCGCGGCGTGGCTGTAGAAAATCATTAAATAGAGTTAATCAAAGAAATAGAGCTCTCTTAAAAAAGGTTTTGTGATCTGCAATCATCTTATACAAGTATCTACCTCGGTATCTACTGATAGAGATACCGATTAGATAAACACTAGGCCGATACAATATTATCGAATGTTCAAAAATTTCGATATCATGTAGATAATAATTCCGTTCCTCGTGGACTTCAAACAAAGCAAAGCAAATGCTTGGTCAAAAGGGCTCTGCTGGTGCTCAGATTTACTGAATTGACATCCTGATCTGTTCGTTAACAAACATCCGATACAACTGACCGAACGATCCTCGAGATCTTCACACATAAGTACATCATTTTCACAATACACCCTCGAATACACCTTACGGGGTTGTTTCTGTCCAGTTCATTGTATGTTCGATATATCGTAATCAAATTGGGTCAAATACTTTATCTCAGTGACACAGGGAGACGTTAAATATTAAATGGTGTCGGACCTACATCAAATCCTTGAGAAGCCCCTTTGCCAATTAGTCGCACATTGGCCTATGTAGTGCCAGCCATAAGTAGTAGTTGAGTAGTTACTATCTACAAAGATAACCGATGATCTTTATCCTCTCTTGAAGAAATTCCGGGTTCAAAAACTTGACAAACTGACGAATTTTCATTTGCAGCCGACGCCCTCAAATGTTTCCAGTGCAACACGTACGAGAACCCAGCTTGCTTGGATGTGACTGCGGAAGACGTCAACAGTCCCCTCCTGAAAGAGTGCGAGCAAATCCCTGGCGGCCCGGAGCCGTTTTGTAGAAAAAATCGATACTCCCGTAAGTACAACAAAGTGATTCGTTTAATTACCAAAAATAACGTACTCGTTACATGAACGCGCAATTAACGCATTGTGCATGTCCTTTTTTCCAGGAGTTATCTCTAAAACGGCTAGGGGTTATCTCAAAATTGTTATGACGCTTGTTTGTGTCAAGTGATGATGAGTTCAAAATTGTTTTAAACGATCATTATTAGTTTATTATTAACACGATTAAGTACTTAGTAATACGAGAGAAAATAAACGTAAGTACACATACATAATGGCATAACCAGAGACGTTTGAAATTCAATTATTGTTCGGCTTGCACTTACCTATCAGGCCTAGTTGGAGATTCACGCATATTAACCAATGTTCAATTTGTTACTAACCTGCTTTAGTGCTCTTGTGTCATTTGGCATACTAATAATATAATCCACGTGAGAAGATCTTCAATATTGAGTCTAACCAGGGATTCAATGTCCAACACTTCCTCGGTTCTCGCTTAGTTGGCTATCGAGGGCTATTGAGCTCTTATGGAATGCATCCGGCGAATGTGGCTTTTTGATTTCCTTCTTCAATAACTGTGTAATGTATTATGTTCGTTTTTTGAGGATTAAAATGGTTAAATCGCGCATATTTTCTTAGTTTCTATTTTACAAACGTTTGCAATTGGTATTAGAGTTCATTGCATTGCATTGTGTCAAAAGTGAATTCTAAAAAGATCACCCATAGTTCTAAAGTTCCTGGTAAGTCATTAAGATATAGTTTCGCGAAAAATCAATGCCAAAGATCTCCAATGTTCTGAAACAAAAACTACCCGTATTAGAAGTATACTAAATATACATTTTACAGCAAATTTTATATTAAAATGCAACTCTCCAGAACAACCAGAACCCTAATCAGAACTCAAATCATTTACAGAGCAAACATTTATAGTATAATTATATTACAATATAGTATTATAGTATAATGGGTGATATTGTTAGTAAAAACAAATTTAATGCTCGAAAAAAAAAAGTTTCGAAATTTAAATGGTACACCCTGTATATTTGTAATTTTTGGTTTCTACAATTTTACATCTGATACGTTGTTCGGTAGTTTCTACGAGGTTCGTGGGAAAATCACGAAATTTTATTTTTTAATGTTGGTGGTCGGGAATGGACCAAACTTGTTTTCCATTGACTCTACATTTCTACAAAAATCCATTTATTCAATAACAAGGATAATTTTGAAATTTAGGTTTATGTCGTCCAGTCAATTTTTTGGTGAATTTTCGAGAGAAATTCCCCTTACGTGATGGTTTTGTCCGTCCGTCTGTTCCCGTCTAACTCGAGAACCAAAAGAGACAGCGATGTCAAACCTATCGATTTCAACGAGTTCAAGGATCAGTGCTATTGAATATGAGCCGAATTACAAGACGTGTTTCCGAATGTGAATCGAGTGTTAAAAAGTGGTTTTAAAGTACATATATTTTTTCAGCGTAGCCCAACGAAGTTGCGGTAACGCTGATATGCTCAATTTTCCGTCGTCCGTCTGTCTGTGCCTTAGAAATCTCAGACTCTGGGCCCCCTAGAGACTTCGGGATTTCGTCTATTCGAATATATAATATAAATAAATATATATAAAATATGGTATAATTATATTTGCCCGTCATTTTGCGGCAACATCCACAAGTGGGTTTTGAAACATTTTTGAAGTTACTGGAAGTTGCAAGTATTTTTTATATTTGTTCCGTTATCGGTTCGCGTGCTAGTAGAATCTAAAAATGGAAAAATATACAGGGTGGATCGTTTTAATTTTTTTGCAAAATGATATAATTACTGTTGCATGTACTAACATATACGAATACTAAAAACATTGATAAATGTACAATGCTAAAAACAAATTCGAGTCGTACCTATGCTATAGGCCTAACGCCTTCAGAGCAAGCAGGCCATTACCAAACGTTATTAAATAAAAATAAATAGATTTGGTCATTGCGCTTTATCTTAACGCTTTTTTTGCAAGAAACTGTACATTTTGAGTCACAAATGCCATTTCGAGGTGTAATTTTCCAAGAAAATTTTCAGGAAGGATACTAAATCCCCTAATTCCCCTTCTCTCTGAAATAGTCTATACACCCATGATAAAAAAAATCTCTCACCTACCAATTCCTGGCTGTGCCACTGGTTTTATATACCTTTTAGGTGCAAAGGGATGTAAGCTTTATAGGGGAGGTGATGGTGTCCGTCTGTCCGTTGGATTCGGTTCAAACTTTGTACAGAGATCCGATTTAGGGGTTTAGGGGGTTATACAATTTACAAATTTTTGCCTAAAGGGTCACACGAGGGTTCACAGTTAAAATATACACACACCTATTGGAAGGTGTTAATACCATTCTATTTACATGTTAAGACACATTCATAGATTTTACTGATTTTATCTAGATTTATGGATTTCGCCAAAATTTCAAACATGATCCAACTCGTATTGATTCCGATTTTCGATTTTGAACTCGTAGTCCTAACATTTTGATTTTATACTGGGATCTACGAATTTTGAACCACATTTACCATGCAACCCCGCATGCAAGGTTTGGGAGCGTTAGGTGCACAAGTCGTCATTTCGAATCTAAGGTTGTACTCCCGAGTTAAAAAACGAAATTGTGCGTTATAGTTCCGGGTGGAAACTACAAAGGCGACAAAGGGTCACTAGTATTTATTTTTTAAGTCAAATTTTTACCCTTAAATTCGCTAATTTTCCCTTTTACTTCCCTTTTACGTTTACGAATTTTAAGTTTAAATGCCAATGACAACCAAATATGGAGTTCATGATTCGTATCCCGAATTCCGACTTTGAACCCGGAAATTATTTGGGAATTTTAAGGGTGAAAAGTCGGAATTCCTACTTTAGTTAAAAATCAATTGTCAAGTCTGAAAACGGAATTTTAGATTCGGTTGAATAAAAAATAAACAAATATTGCAGGCGATTTATAATTATTGTCGATTAAAATGTAAAATATTACATTCTGTAAGTCAATGGGACGATGTCTTTTCTTGATTTGCCTACATACTCTTTAGAAGTCTCTCTCTCTAAAGTTTATATAATACTGCGACTCAAAAACATATACAGTTAGGTGTGTTGATGGACTTTGATTTGGGTGCTTATCCCCCAAGGAATCTTTGATGTATGTATATACGCATTTGACTTAGTAGTAAAACCACGTTCGAATTTTTAACTTTTAATAATTTGGTACAAGATATGTGACTCGCAGGAATCAAATCACAACATTTATCTTCAGCGTATAACTAATGTGTCGATGAGGTCCCACAGAAGCGGACAGAAAACTTTCCTATGAAGATTTACAAGCGATTTTCGGGCGAAGGTTTGCAGTCCAATATAAAACTCTGCTCTCGATTCGATTTCGTGACGAATTCAAATAGAGAGCTGAACGTATAGATGGAAATGACAAAAGTTTACCTTGTTACGCGTTTTGCTGTGGAACCATCTTTTATAAATGCATGAACTTAATAAGGCCCGATGGCTCACGACGAGAGATGTTGAAGCGGAGGTGAACCGCAGGAGGAAGGTGACGATGGAAAAAACGGAAAAGATCCGATATTCATCGGTTTGGAGACTGAAATGGTGTAGGCTACTACCGGCTACCTTACCACAGGCGGTGCGCGAACCCTTCATGACTTTGTGTTTATAAAAGCTTCACACAGTTGGCATTCCAAAAAGACCTTCTGTGTACGATCGATGAGTCCTGCACAAGACAGTTTTTCATAGCGAAGAGAGTGTATTTGGAGTACGGTTGGTAGGTATTGTATTGCACTTCACACTTCCAAAGTGGCATACCTCGGTTCTCTCGGTTAAATTTGTACGAAGGCGGCACTGAAAGTAGCTTAATAAGAGGTCCCACACCGAAGATGTATAGGATGTTTCGAAACCTATGAATCTTTCATGCCCTTGCGACATGCATGGGGTGGGTACCGTACTAATTTCATTGCAGGCTTCTAACAGTGTATACGCGAGGTGAGGTAAAAATGTGCTTTTTCATCCGTTGTGCCGTCTGGGTTAGAGTTACATACTCACGCATCGTGGTGATAATACAGCAAAATTGTTCTTTCTTACAGTTTTCTCCTACGATGGCTCCGTACGCGTGCAGAGAGGGTGCGGATGGATGGTTTTTAGAGAAAATGTCAGTCTGTGTTACGATGCCGACACAGACTTTAAAGACGAAAGAAACTGTCAATGCTTTACAGATGGCTGTAACGTAGCTTCCACGCCATTGGCAGTTTTTTACCACGTTCTCGTAGGAATTTTAGTTGTCATGGGAACCGCACGAGCTATTTTCACCAATTAGATTAATTACTATCGATGACGGTAATGCGATTCTGTCACGCGTAAAAGGTGCCATTATGTAATAAGGTGATAATTAAGTTTTGCAGATTATGTGCCAATTGTATAGTGTAATGTAGTATTAGAATAAGATGCTCAATATTTTATAAACGGAACATTCCAAAAATTAAAAAAAAGGATTGCAGATGGTGCCGACACGCGTGACGTCAAAAGGCCATCGACATATCTTGCTCCTAATCAGACTCTGGAGGAATGCAGATAGAATCACGTCAATGACGGGCGACCTACTTATCTTCCCTTTCTATTTTTTGAGCAAGTGTACTTTCTAATATAGGAGCTTAGAGGAGTCACTGTGGTTTAGCAACTATCCCGGAAATCGCTTTTGGAAGTAGACATTAAGTTCGTGTGTTTCGTTTCCACACCGAAGTTGATGAATAAATGAAGATTTTCAACTCGAAGCTATTCTTCCTTGCTGTGTTAATGAGGGGGTTAAGTACAGAATTGCATAGCTTGCCACAACTGAAGGTTCAAGACGAGACTAGTCTCTTTATGTTCCCTCCTCCTTTCCCTCGCCTTTTCCCATCACCAGAAAAAAAGCAATGTATCCAAAAGCGATTCCAAAAGTTTCTTATCATATTTAAATATTAATATTGCCAAAGGTAAGTAATGCTGGGAATAAGCTAAACATCCGTGGCAACGACTGAGAATTAAATTAAAATTACTATACAGGGTTACCCGACATTCGCCGCAGCATACGAAAACGCCGTTAGCTGCGTGCAAATATGAATTACAATACGGCGTACACCTATATAGTAATGCATGTTTCGACGCAGCATATTGGTCAACGAGTTAGCGATGGTACTAGGATTCGTTACTGCTTGTCATTACTCATCGGATAATTCCTGTCACAATTTTGACGCTCAACATGCATGAACCCTCTCGATTTCTTCTACTGGGGTCACCTGGATTCCATTTATGCACGTGGACCGTTTCCGAACACTGCTGCTTTGGAAGATGCCATCCGTGAATGTTCTGCGGGTATCACTCATACCCAACTCATGTCTGTGACTGCAGAATTTGAAAACCGATTGCATTACACGATTCCTACTGGCGGGGACTTATTTGAACACTTAGATACTATAACGGCAGATGCGACGCAATTTCTTTTCTTAGACTGCTCTGTTCTTTTTTTTGTGTTACCGAAGGCTGTTTCTTCTTTAATGTAACCGAAGGATGTATTTTTTTCTTTCGTTATGTTTCCTTGTGCTCATCCTGCACGATCACTTCCCTTTTCCATGGAATTTCTAACGTGTCGGCCGATGCTGCGTCGAAACCTGCATTACTATATAAGTGTACGCCGTATTGTAATTCATATTTGCACGCAGCTAACGGCATTTTCGTATGCTGCGACGAATGTCGGGTAACCCTGTATACACCTCGATATACACCCCTTATCCGCCACCGAAGATCCATGATAAACCTGCCGATACGAAGGAATATCCTTCCCTTTATATATTTGTGTAATGTAAACTCAGTTCCGCCTTTGAAGTCACAACATTTTTAACATACATGGGGTCGTTCTTATATTCCCGGCCTAGGCATGAAAACAAAAGACCAGAGTAACAACAACATATTTTATTTTTCAATATAGTTCCACTGCTTTTGAATACTGGTATAACATTCAATATAAATATATTCATTTGGGTTTTCCGCAAAATGGCCCTCAACAGCTGCTACCAGTTCGTCATTGTCCCTAAATTGTCTCCCCCTTATAGTGTTTTTCTGAGATTCGGGATCAAAAAATAATCACTGGGTGCTAGATCTGGACTATAAGGTGAATATTCCATTTTCTCGAAGCCACAATCAGTTACAGCCGAGGTTACAGCAGCTTTTTAAAGTCTGGACTTGTGCACTGGTGCATTGTCATGGAGCAACAAGGCATATCGATGGAGCGCTTCGCCATTTTCCCTTTGTGAGCACCCTCGTTGAAATTATTGCGGAACAGTAAACAGAGAAAGACTGAATCCATTAAGACTAATGTCTTAATATGCTTAATGAAAATAGATTTTACGTAAATTGTATAATTTACAACATTGTATGAAATGTTATTTGTTGTTAACTATAAACAATACAAAAGAATGCGAGTATGACGTGGATTCATTGTTGATCTGATTTTCTTGTTTATAGTTAATAATAATATTTTATGGATTATAATGCAAGCAACGAATGAACGTAATATCGGGTCGAGCAACAAATTGTTTATGCATGATAAGATATCATAACCACTATTCGTTGTTTTTGCTGTTTACAGTTATCAACAAATTTGGTTACATATAAATTGTAGTGTAAAGAACAATTTTACGTGATACCAATTTAAGAAAAACTTGTTTATTATATATTATATGAACGTATAAGGAACGAAGTAGTGAAAGTAGCATCGCTACGAGACAATTTACTTCACAAAATGAAATCACGAAATCGGCAAGTAATGAAGTATCACACCGTTTTACCGTTATGTCTACCTGTAACTATTGTGGTGCTACCCAGAACTCAACAGAAGATTTGAAAAAATCCTCCCTTGCAAATGTGTAGTTTCTTGTGGATTCTGCGGACTCCTCTCTTTTCGATATCAGCTCGTCCGTATCCATTTCTTTCGTAATATTTTCCTCTTAGTTCCTCCCGCGGTTCCTCCCACATTCCTTCTGGGTACATCTTCGTTGTCAAGCATTTCTTTACCAATTCGCTTTCTCTATCGCCCCTTTCCTCGAATCGTACCACCCTGAGCACAGACGGTATCCTTATCTTTTCCATTTGAGTTTCTTCCTCTAATATACAATTTGGTGTCCTTCCGCTTAAACCTCCTAATAGGCATTTATAATACCTTCTACCCCCGTATCTCCGTTCCGTACATAAGCACCCTTCTCACCATTGCGTCGAACACGTAGTTTCTTGTTCTAAAATTATTCTTGAACCCCCTCTCTCCAATCCTCACATCTGTTTCATCGCCACACCCCTTTTTTCCTTCATTCTGTGATGTGAGCATTGTTTCTTTGCGTTTGGTACCCTATAAATATTTAATTTCTTTTGCATCTTCTTTCCTTCCTCCCGCCATCACCCTTTTTCTTCTCCCCCCCCCCCCCCAAGTCTCATACTCTTCAACTTTTTTACATTTAGCTCCATTCCTTTCCCAGTACCTTTCCATTCTTACCATCATTTCCCATAATTTTACGTAGTACGCAGAAACAAATGGTGCCACGGTGAATGTGCGGATTGGGCTTTTTTTACCGTGTCTCGATAGCAAAAATTCGGATATTTTTATATATAAAATTGTTCTGTACGTGTTTGTGATTGAACTGTTGAGTGAATTTAATTACTCAATGACTGAACTAAACTGCTGGACGGATTTTGATGAAAATTTCTTTATGTGTCTGTGTGTGTATTCGGATGGTTTAGATTCATAATAGGGCCTGATCGGATTATAGGATATTTTTAAAAACTTCTTTTTTTGTTGATATCGCACTCTTTTATTTCGCGTACCGATCCATACATACTTAGAAAATTTAAACAAATATAAATTTTGCACAACTATTGTCACCAGGCATACATTCAGAATCTACGCTATATAATGCAAGAAGAATAAACCCTCTACAGAAATTCTCCGAAATATTGTATTTACCCTTTGTAGATATATATACCTTCCTCCAACATTTTCGAGATATTCACAATTAAGTCTGTACGTCGCCTGTAGATGTGTCTCGTCCTTTGAGAGTACCTTCTTCCGACTCTCCGTTCTGCGGATATTTGCACTGAAAGTTTTAACATCACTAATACATGTCTCGTCCTAACGTTCCACTTGCCCTTTATGTACCTTCTTTCGACCGGACGATAAATTTTGCCTGTGTGGGTACTTTCCTCGGACAAAGCGTTTTCGAGATATTCGCTCGCATCATTAATGGATGTATATCTTCCAGACGTCCCAATCGCCCTTTGTGAATACCCTCCTCCGACAATCTGTTCTTGAGATATAAGTAATTATATCAGATCACGGTAAGTAGTCGAGGAGGGGGATTATAGTTGGTAGAAATTAACTCTCTATTGATAAGGGGTGAGAAAAAATGGCGGTAGTTGGTAGGAAACAGTTCCTTTAATTAGAATACCCCCTGTACAAATTAGTAACAGATTTCTCCGTAACATAGTCCGCTTTTCGTTTTCAACAGTTAGAGTTGTCATCAGCTACCACATTTTGGCGCATGAGAAAATATGTTTGTATACAGTATCAAATTAGCATTTTTTTTTTGGATGTGTATGTTTTTCATGGAAAGGCGAATGGCTAATTATTGCACTGCTCTGTAGGCTACAATTTTTATTAACGCAGCAAAAGTAACAGTAACAGAACGATGGGTCTACCATTTCAGGGTATATCGTTCTAGGCCCATTTCGCTATTGGTCCATTTCTTCTTGCATGTATAACATCTTGCTTAACCAATTACCAATCTATAGGCATTACTATCTAAAATAAGATATACGGGGTGATCTACACCCGTTCACTGAAGAAATAATGCATTTACCCTCACCTAAAGTGGGGTGCATGGGTGGCTTGTCGTGTAATACAACTCACCAGTTTTACGGACTCACTGAACTCTGTTTTCGTATATCAAAAACCTTACACTTGCAATTCCCATGCTCTCTTATTCTACCACAATTTTGAAAACATCGATAATTTTTGTTTGTTGCGTGCGTGGAAGTTTCTAGACCGCAAACTAAACAGACGCTTATCTTTCGTGCTAAACAACCATAACACGGTGTGCGAATATGCGATTGTGGGTAATCGATAGGGCCCACAAGGGAAGTTAACCTTCCTTCGTCTCCTTTGAGTGTTTGTTGCTTTTTAATTACAATCGCGTTAAAAATGCTCTAATGACAGAAAAACGACAGAATTCTGAAAAACATAGCACCTGTTGTTAGAAACCTGAAACAAGTAACCTAGGCCTGTTAATAGGCAAAATTTATCTCAAACTTTTTTTATTTATATTTATAGTATTTAGTAACTTTGCTCTTTAGGTTTTTTATGATAGTCATGCGGTATTCTTCAATAGGGATCCCTGATTACTACCTAAAATTATCAGATTTACGGATATTCTCCTGTTACTTTGCTTTGCGAATTGGTATCATTTGTTGCAGTATTAATTAATTATATTAATTGGATCGATGCCAAAGAACTAGAGGCTAACGTTCTGAGGCTTAGTTTTTTGGGGAGGTTGTTTGGAAGGGGACGTTCTCGTTGTGGGCGACACAACGATTACATGGGGCCTACACTCTAATATAGTATACCGCGAATCGCACAAAAGCAAGCACAAAAGCATTACAGGCAGGTGCAGTTAAACTCCAATAAATCATCCCCTGAAATTGATTCTTTTCTAGGTAAAAACGCTTGCTTCAAAAGAAACTAACTCGTAAA